GTTGGCAGTGAATGCATTGCCTAGAGGGCCAAGGAGGAGGCGTTCTGTGGAGTGGTAGCAGGAGTGGCTGGAGGGAACCGCGTCGTGCAGTAAACCAAGAAACGTCGAAAAATCAGGACCATTTAACTCGGCTTTCGGGAGCGGAAGTGGTCGGAGCTTCGCCGGCTTTGGTGATGGTGGAGAAGGGGTGTAAATGTGGAAGGTTTAAATGATGAAAAAATCGAGTAAGTTTGCTGGAATAAAGAAGTGAAGAGTTGAGATCGAAATTTGTGTGTTTAGTCTCGTCGAATTATATTTGTTGAAGTTATAGATTGGTTGGATTTATAAAGGATATATTTGTTTGAAAAGAGAAAAGTTAGATTTGAGTGGTTCAAAATGAGTGGTCATTAAGGAAGAGAGTTAAATCAAGCGAATTTGAAGCTTTGCATTGTGACGAACAAAAATACAGGGGAGCGAAATGTCTTAGTTCCCTATTAAATACCAGTTTACTGAATAGGCCGTATTGAATTGTGCACGGTCTCCAGTGTATGATGAATGCTAATACCAACGAATATTACGAAGTTACGAATCCTCAATCAAATTTTGATTAAAGTTTCCCAATTATCCTCAATATAAAATATTTTTCTATATTTTCATAATAATGTAGTTAGTAGGGCGATTCAAATACTAATAGAGATTGTTTGATTTACGACGAAGTGAATTTCCTTCTGTGCGCCAGGCCAACAGAAATCAACGATTTGATCCTCCCACACTTCTGACTCGCTAACGAAGGTATTCTTTCAGAAGCCATTAATTACGAGTTTAGCGATTCAACTTATGTCGAGTTTCACGTAAAATTTTCCAATGATCAGTTCAGTTTAACTGCCTTTTTAGCGCATTTGCTCATTTTGAAAAAATGCACAATTGTGCTCGCCAAGTCCCTCTGTCTGTCTGTCCGTCCGTGACCTCAAGTTTTCGTCGACGAGAAAATGCGCTCCTGTCACTCACTGCAGTGAGTACTGAGTTATATTTTTTACAGATTAAGATAATGGACGATCTTGTATGCTTTATATAATCTGAGCTACAATATTTACTTTTGACGCTAACGCGCTACTTTATTCCTTGAAAATCGCGTGACTGACGAGCGGTACGTGACATCGCCATTTAACCACAGTACCAGAGGGCGGAATTAATGATTTATCGATCGACTTTCCAGGGTTTGAAGTACTTAATTAATTAACAGTGGAATTTTTTGGAAACACAAGGCGAGTACGTGATAAGTCAATCGAAATTAAGTTACGGCATCTCAAAATGTAGTGTAGCCCTACTAGTGAACATTTGAACGCAGCGTCGCGCATGAGACGATGCTGACGATGCGACGTCCGAAGCGTCTCCGAGGCTCAAGCGCTCATGTGATCCCATGAAAGCCGGAGTCCAAGGTGCAGAAATAAGAGCTAATGGCTCTTTAGAAATTGAATCGAGTTTGCATTAATGATGCATCGTAATGCATCATATGTATGAGTTTGCATTGACTATTGTAAGTACCATTTAATAATGATTAGAGACTTTCAAGAGCCGGTATGGCTAGGTGAAAATGAAGCGCCAGCAATTTTTAGTATTGAAATCCGAATTCGTGATTGAGTGGACTTAAAAGTTTCCAGAGAAGTATTTGTCTGATTCTGCATAAGTGAGTGACAGTGCATGATTAACTATTAATCGAGCACATACACATTCAAACGTCGTGGTTGTCACTACCCTACATGAAGCTGCTAACGCAAAAATTTACTAATTCCATTTGCATTCACTTTATAATAACACAAATATCACTGATATGAGTTAGTCAGCTTCCTCACATGCATGCAGCGATATAACCATTTCAACGAATCCTAAACAATTATCTTTCCAGGCTTAACATGCCAGTTCCATCTCATTCTGTTTTCAGAACTTCGAATTTCAACTCCACTGCGCGTTTAAACAGTTGAAACCATCAGCTACCCACCGGTCGTGTGCAGCTGAGGTGCGAATGACCACAATATCACGATGACATTAATTATAGATGAGCCTTCAGGACAGGAGCGCAGTTGACCTACGTAAAGTAACGGGCTAAGTGTGCTGAACAAATTCTTGCGTGCGACATCATAATTTATAGGAGGTAATAAAATATATTTTTTTTGTATGGCTTTATTTTAGGTTTCCTTTGCTGCAATAGTAGCAAATAATAGGAATAATAATAGCAATAGGAGATATAGAAAGTTTTTTGTACAAATTTAGGCAATGCTGACGCTATGATACATATAACAGGTCTGCGCTAAAAAAAGCAACAATGTGACACTCCGCTCTAGCTTAGACGAGCAGGGAATGAACTATCTGCTTTAATAATAATTAACATTTGAGATCCCAATCAATTAAGCTTAGTGCGAATACCAGGTGCCTCAAAGTGATCATCAATTTAGATTCCGAAACAGAAAGCTTTGATTTAGAAATTTTGAACGTCATGAATAGGAGGAAGACAGCGCATTTCTGCGAATTGGAGAACTCATGGCAACTGTAACGAGTATAGCGACTGTAAAGAGCAAGCGGAAGCTAAAGAAGCAAGTTATGGGCTAGATTCAGAGGTGTTATTACTGCAGCTTCCTACAACCTAGGTCACGCCACGATCATTTTACATTTTGCCCTTTAAAAAGACAATCGCACTGTAAAGTCGATCCGATCATGCATCGCCCCACTCACAGGTCGATTAAACGAATATCTCAGCCATGAGGGCTGGGCAATTCAAGCGACAAACGTGCGTATTTCGCGGCGCCAAGTGAACTACAGGGGAGACTGCCCTAAGCTGAGGAGCTGCAGGGGAATAAATTAGGCAAGGCAGAGCACAGTTCGTACGTCCTCATTCACTTTATCTCACTAGCAAAATGTCCAGATGTTCCTGCCTCAACGTTAGCAATCAGTAAATGAATTGTTCGGTGCACGTGAAAGAATAGCCCACAAGGAGGACGTCCAATAAATTTTCGGTTGAGATTCATAAATTTGTTGCACAAAATTGTCATCTTTTGGTGTATATCTTGAAGCGAGTGAAGGACGCAGGCGAGACTGGCAAAGAAAGGAATTAAGGCTCGAGAAGCGGACAATTAAAAGCATGTTGCTAAATACTAACCAGTGTTTGAGTCTCCCAAAGCGTCCTGCCATCCCCGTATCAAAAAGCTGAGACAAGCTTAAGTGTAGGAATAATACAACAACAACCAAACGCAACTGAATGGTTGAACCAACACCTATAACTGCATGATTGAAGAACCAACTTCAATTCTGTGTAGAAAACACATCATGTAAATGTAAGCTGACAATTTTTTATTACAAACTGTGATGTCCCGAGCTGACTGAACGGTTTATAATGTAGACATTTTAATATAAGACGTTTATTTGCTACATTTAAGTCGAGCTCGGATCGATTATACGAAATTTTATTCACATTGTTCACTGTTCCTTCAACAAATTTGAATTTTTTGAGGAAATAAGAAGAGCACCAGAGAATTTACTGAAAGAAAAACGTCTTATTTGGAATCAGTCTTCTTATTAACTTCGAAGCTAATTTAAATTAAAAATATAATGAGCGTTTAAGGGGTGTTGCACTGTTGTGATTGGTAAGTATAGCACCGATGCCATGTAGTTTCGTTGATCGTCACCATGCAGCATCTCAAAATATCTAACAACGCAAATAACTACATCACACAACACAAATAACTACATCACTTTTGAACAACTACTCCGGTAATCAATGTGATCACGCAGATGCAGTCTTTTCCACATTGACCATATATATACGATGCCGGAGGCTCAAATGAGGGCCCCGCGATCAAAGCATTTTCTTTAACATATATGATGTAACTATAAATGATTTAACCATATATGATGTAACTCATGCCGTGGCAGGACGAAAAAATGCCTTCGAGAGCTTGTTCAGTGAGAAATTATGCAATCAACTTCACACTTCTCACTACAAGAAACTCCCAATTAAGCTCGCAAATAATTGCACTTGGATTTTTTTTACAAACAACAGCTACATTCTTTTAGAGGTTACTATTCGTCAAGTGGACGCGCTACTGTCCATTAATACAAACAATGAAGCAAGTCTGCTTAACAGCAGCTGCTTCTATATTTTGAGATCTAGGCAAGTATATGAAGATCAATTATTTAAACCTACATAAAAAGAACATTCTGCTCAAGTTGCTATGTTTTGAGGAAAAGAAAATAAGCGACCACCGGAATGTAAAAAAAATTGTGGAGAAGGCGAAGTTTTTGTTAGTGGTGATTGAAATAATGAAACTCGTAATGGGAAGAAACTGAACGATCCCACGCTTCACCACTCAATGAAGTTAAAATCATTAACTTAGCAAGTCTAAGAACTAAAAAGCTGAAAATTGTGACAGAAACCCTGGATCCGAGTAATCCAAGAACAAACAAACACACGCATATAAAAAAGCACGTTTCCATGGAGGAAATAATAAGCAGAACGTAAATCCTTATGTACAACCAAAGATTGAAAGTTGTCCTTAAAAGTAATCAGCACGAGCTGCCACATGACGCCACATTAAAGATTTACAGGACACTGCCATCAGATCACAACGAATAACACACGCTATAACCGCGCCGTGAGCACTTAGGCCAAGACTGAAACACAGGGCACGTATCGTAATGTTTCTTTAGTTAGAATCCTCACAGCACGATCACGATTACGCACCAACAATGTTTTTGTGTTTCACTACCACTGATCAAGTGTCTTCTACAGGCGCGATTTGTTGAACACCATCACTTTCAGGAGCAATTCTCACAGTCTCAGTCTCACAGCGTTGACAGTCTCAGGACTTGTCAACACTTTTTTAAACACGCGACGAAATTCTTTTTTTTTTGGTGCTACTCTTCAGGCGATCCAACACTTGGATGAGCCATCAGGGATTTCTTGGCTCCTGTCTTGAAGGATATAAGGACACCACATGTTCTGGATAACAAGCGAACAACACCTCAACTTTTTGTCGCATCACAAGTTGCTGTCCAAGCCTCATCTTCTGTAGCAGTCGTTCCTCACGTAAAAATACATTATGATATAGAAACACAAATTTGAAAGACGATTAAAAGACTCGATGCATACGTAAGATGAACCCAAGCCAGTATCTAAAGTAAATGTTCAATGTACCGCATTAAAATTAAACTTGCGTGCCGTTGAGCCTCAGTCATAGCACTTCGACTCGCTTACAAGTTCAGTTCCGTCCTTATAACTGACACTGAAATGTTGGTTCATCAGCACCCTATCTGGGGTGAAGAACGTGCAGTGCAACAGATAATTAAACTCAGAACTCGATATGAAAGTATTTTCTGGCAAATTGAAATTTTTTTAGGCCAGCTTCCAGAGAAAGATCACGGTGGACAATAACGAATACTGATGCATGACAAAAGGCTCGCTGGCACGAAGCGCTTAATCTAAATCAAAGAATAAATGAATAAACGCCTAACCACCCACCCAAACATGTAAAATAGAAAGCAAAGAGTAAGAAATCTTTTGACCAAAAAGTGTAAGCGAAGATATCAGGCAAAGCCAAGGTGTTGTGGCAAGTAGCAATTGTCAGGGTTGGCTAATTCCTTTACCTCCCGTCGGAACTGGCAGTAGCCACGCTACGCATGTACCCTAACATCTTGGCGAAGAGTTGTATCTTCCATAGAAGCGAACAAGTTAGAAGAAATTAGTAAGAGTAGGAAAGTGGAACCAGTAGCTGACGTACATCTCTAAGAACCTATTTACAAAGCAAAGTTGAACGGGCCTGCATGCATCCTAAATATTTCTTTTGCGAGCTAAATTTGAAGCCTATGGTTACCTCTTGGAATCATTATTTCACGCCAATTTCAACTTAACACATCATAGACAAAGTTCAAAGTAAATTCAAAGTAAAGCCTTCTATTTCTGTCTAGATAGATAGTGGAATTTATTCTTTTTAATGAAAGTGGCCCCACTTCGAAAATAACAAATTCCATGAAACCAAAAACGAGCCGAGATATGCATAGCCTTCGAGCGGGAGCAAAGCCCAAATTTCAAAATAAAATTTGCCGAACAATAACCATAGCTGAAGGGTACAAGATGGCTCAAAAGTAGAAAAATATAGAAATCATTTTGACAATATCTGAACGTTTCAGCACAATACAAACGAGCCCCTTTAGATGACGTCCGGATAGTTTGAAGAATTAACGCATAACTGAATGGTCAACATCGTGAGTTGTGCCGAGGAGTGTCCGATATTTGTTACCTAATAAAAGGTGCAGTAAAACAGAAGAGAATAGCATCCACCAAACTCGACGGTCGTGTACTCCTCGATTTTTAATGAAAGCTCGGACTCCATATGATCAGTTTTTGCAAGGAAAAGAAAAAAAACCTTTAATGTCGACGATGAGTTTTAAAGTTCAAAAGAGGACAACAGGTGAACGAAAGTGAAGTGTTCAGGGTAATAGGCAGCATAGGATTGTCTTTTAAATACACAACAACGTCAACAAATAATCTTCCATTTATACAAATGAAAAAGAACTCTTCCAACCCAGATTTCTACAGAATCCTACGTAGATCTAGCTGACATGAGTATTTAATATGTTCAATATAATATATATTGCAATATAAGCAGATACCTCGATATATATTGCAACGAAAGAGGTATATTGCTTCAGGGAAGTTAATTTGTTTAGCAATCCACGCAGATATCCTATGGACGGTTAAGAACAGACTTATTTAACATCCCGAAGCACAAACAATATAGAAAACGCAGAAATTTTCTTCTCCTTCATTACTTCAAGCACTACAAATCCTCGAGAATTACGTCTGTACAATAAACCGATTTATACAAAAAGCTGAAATTAAATGAAAAAAACATAAAATTGCCCATCAACGCTATGAATTACTACGAGCACAGACTTTCTTTCCATCAACAGAGGCGACGACAATCTCAAGCTAAAACCTAATTGGCAATGACAAGACAAAATGACCTTAGCAAAACTTAAAAGCTTTTTTGTACACTACAACTAGCTCACAAGTAACGCTTTACTCGTTAATAGGCGCAATAAATGCAACATGAAACTGATTCATCCTCAGTCTCCAATCATCTTCCCAGAACTTTCCAAAGTTTCAATCGTCTCAATAAAGAATATTGAAATTAGGAATGTCATGAATAACCGAAAATGTCAAGCGAGTTTTGTTTTAAGGTTGCTTATGAAAAGTTCAGTTGCAAGACTGCTCCTAAAAAGACTGTTAGAACAAGCTTAAGAAGCGATCTAGATAGCAATTGAGAAACAATGCAAATAATACAAAAAGCTGTCAAGAGCAACGAGAATGCGTGAGCAAACAAGCTCAACAATCAAATGGTCAGATTTTCAATCTTGCACAGAAACAGAACTATCTGTAAATATTGTAACCTTTGTGAACACAAGAGAGCAAATAGCCTGGGCGACTAATGGTAATGATGGTACAAAATCCTAAAACCTTGAAGAGAACAAAGCGGGGCACTATTTCATAATTAAATTTTGCTCTTATCATCTACATTCCCAGAACTTCACAAGATAAGATCACATAACGACACTGGAGCAACATGTAGGAGTACTCTCAGACGCCATAGCGCTACCGGAATATTTCAAACACATTGGCGTTCAGAGCCTGCATGTCCGGTGTGGGGAAGGTTAAGTAGAAGACACGCCAAGGAATTGAAGGTTACAAAAACGCTCTTGAAGATGACAAAATGGGAAGAGCTTCAGTCGAAAGACAAACTTTGTGACCAGTGGGTAGGGGGAGTTAAGGGTATCTAGCGGGAGAGTCCGAAGATGAATCATTCCGATGTCAATGAGAGAATATTTCTAGCACCTAGCATTACTACGATTTAGTCTATCACAGAGATGACAGCGGCAGCCAAAGATTTGGCGAATCTGCCCAATTTTTTAACTCCCTTTGGCTTTCCTTTCTTGTCATCGTCGTCCCGGATATCTTCTGCAAGAGAAAGAATGATTATTTAGAAAGGAATGAAAGGTCTTCTCCTTGCATTCATCAAGTGAAACGAAATACGGACAAACAAAATTAGACTAAGTATATAAAATTGTATGAGAAGGTAACCTGTCACAATCATTAGGGAACTTCAAATAATAACATCCATTCGTAATAAACAAGTAAGCCGAAGAGTTCCTTACATAAAATGCAACTGAAGAAATTTCGGACAGTAGTACGATTCATAGGTGGAATTCAAGGCAAGAAAACACGATTAAAACCAATAAATTCTGAGCGTGTACGCACAGCAGTTCTTGATTACCGTCTTTTTTGTTATTTTATCCACCCCCTTAAGCGTCAATTAACACGGCTTGCAAGATTAGTTTAATGACTGGCGTTACGAACCTGTTCTGTGAGTGGCTTCTTGAATGTATTTCTTATAGTAGCTCATGTGCTCGGCCTTGTATAGACACCTGTAGTTGGTCATGACGGATGCGAGATCATCCTGTCGAGAATAAATCAAACATCACATTAGTATATAAAACTAATTAATTACCAGACGGTCTTGAAAGCTATGGCTGCATCACGCAGACAGTTGCGAAACGGGATTAAATTAGAATGGTCATAAAACATCTGGAGGAAAATTGAATATCACTGTATTGCTTAAATAAAATTAATGATACATTTTTCAAGTAAAAAATCATTATGAACAAATGATAAAAAAGATTGAAAATCAACAATATTCTGAAAAGTATAACAGAATTTAAGTAAGAATGAACAATAACTATAGTTAAAGACGATAGACAGATGGGATTGGAATAACATGGAAAACTCGCTATACAGTTAAAGCATAAAGCAAAAAATAAATTCGAATACGCAAAATAAAATGCACCAAGGACTACTCACGAAAGTAACAACTCGAGGATGGTTCTGGTGGTGTTGATTATTGCCGTTGATTGACTGCTGGGTCGGTGGATTATAAGAGGCTTGCCTCACCACCGTGTGGATATCAGCCGCAGAGTAGCTAAAACATGGACAAAATCATCGATGAGAAACTCAAAACATAAGTGAATACTTTCAATTTTATAATGTCATTGCTATTGCACTACATTCTTATAGAAGGCATTGCTAGAGAACCTATCAGTTAGAAAGGAATAATTTAAAGGTAAAGTTAATGAATAAAGTTAATTTAATGGAATTGTCAAATGACTCACCCTTCGCTCTTGGAGAGAAGGCACTTATACTGATCACTTGTGACGTTATTGGCGTAATTGTTAAGGAACATTCTGAAGAGTTCCTCTCGCTGTTTCTCGGCGGGCAATTTGATGTGGATGTTGTAGGCGAAGAGTCGTCGGAGCTCGTCAGGCAGAACCCAAGGGCTGCACGTTGTTGCCACCAACATAACTTGTTCGTTGATAGAGTTGGTAGGATAACTGGGCTTGAGAGTTGTCTCTCCGCGTACTTGAGCCATAAGCTCAGCCTTAGCCCATTTACCAGCTTCAGTGAGTTCAGGCAAAGCGAGCATCTCGATCTCGTCCATGAGCATGACGCAGGGTTTGTGAACGCGCGCATGATCAAACATGTTCCTGATGAGCCCTGCGGCGGTTTGAGGATGCATGGAGCGGCTCATGATGAAGCTGGGCGTGCAGGCGATGAGTCGCGCACCGCCAGCTTCGTAGGCTAGAGATCGCGCTAAGCTCGTTTTGCCGGCACCTGAAGGTCCGAATAACAAAACTCCGCGACAAGAGCCTTGTGAGTCAAAAACTTCGGGGAACTTGCTACCTTGGAATAAGTTTTTGAGCGCATCTTTGGCGTTTTCGTGACCAACGAGCGATGACCATCCATAGCCTGGTGTTTCGATAAGCATTGGCACCGCATTCGGCATGAGCACGCCACCGTTGGGACGGTTCATGGGCTCGTGCTCCATTTCGTGGAGTCGTCTCTGAAGCTGATGTCTCTGTTGCTCCATGTGGTCTGTGTCAGAGTCTCGCATAGACTCAGTGGCGCTGGGAAGATCAGACAACGAGGCGAAACTCGTAGCGTTCTTGACGTGGCCGCGGTCACTTCCACTCGAGGATGAGCCGCTGCTGCTGTCGGGACTGACGCGTCCGGGGCCAACCAGCGTGGGGCTTGGAGTCTTCTTGGTCGTGGACTCGGTGTCACTCTTGCCGCCTCCCGATGTCTCTGAGCAAGGCACTGACTCGCGATCCAAACTTGTTTTGTCGCCATCGTTATTTTTGCCGGGGTTGGTCGAGTTCGGAGAAGCCATGGCAACACAATGAGGAGGCATAACGTGCATGCCCGTGCTCATTGGTGGTCGGATCATGCCAGGCAGCATAAACTGATGGCCGTATGCCATTTGCTGTGGCCCTGCGTTGTGCATCTGAGCGAGATGTTGGTGGGAGTAGGCGGCCTGCATGGCAGGGTTGTGAGGAGACATGGGCTTTTGAGAAATTCGGACATTTGCCATGCTATCAGATAGCTTATTGAGTTCATCCAAGCTCTTGTGCATGGCAGGGCCAGTGCTGGGGATCGAGGAGAGATGGTTGGACTGAACTAAAGCTGTACCACCTCCCGTGTTGTTGCTGACGGTGCTCACCACTTTCCCTAGGACGGCACCTCCTACGACGGCCGCACCTCCCATCGCAAGGGCGGCTAAGGGATCGACACGACTCATGGTACCACCTCCAAGTCCACTGCTGATGGACATTGGAGGAGCAAGGACCGTTGGTGGACAGGAAAGTGGCATGGAGTGAGAGTTTGAAGGACCAGGCAAGCTCATGGCAGCAGCAGCACTGGCAACAGCAGCGGCGGCCAGACTGGACATGGTGGTAGCATGAGAGGACGAGGGAGGCCCTGTCATACTCGGGGAGTACATAGGTTGGTTGACTGATCCCAGCGACACATAGGGCGAGGAATGAGGCAGAACCGGGCCAGGTTGACTTGCGTACATCTGGTGCTGCTGCTGCTTTGGTTGGCTCATCATAGCAGCCATCGCAGCGATGCCACCACCAGCCGCCATTCCACCCATAGCAGCCATTGCAGCCATGTGGGCTCCACCGCCCCCGATGTGTCCTTCGTCGTCTTCTTCACTGTCCTCTTCGTCGTCTTCATCTTCAGACGCTCCGCTACCTTCGGTGATGTCTTCGTCATCATCCTCATCGTATTCATGGATGGTTGCGCCCCCGCCGTTTCCAGGACTCCCAAGTCCATCCATGAGGCCGCCTGCTGCGGCACCAAACGCTCCAGCGAGAGCTGCACCAACGTTGGCTGACATGTTTGGCAAGAAGGAGTTCATATCAAAGCCGGCACCACCTGCATCCATTGGTGCACCCATGATGCTGGCACCCATACCTGCAAGTCCCATCTCTCCCATACCTCCTGCCCCGGACATGCCTAAAAGCCCTTGTAGTAAGGACACGGCCCCAGCATCAACTTCACCGCCCCCTGAACCACCGCCTTCGCCGCCGCCGTTGTACGGGTTCTGGAACATGTTTATGTTGTGCTGATCTCCAGTGTAGTAATCTTCCTCGTCATCGTCTTCTTCATCATCGTCGTAGTCTTCGTCGTCGTCATCATCATGCAGGTCTTCGTACATGTGACCTGCAGCAGCCGCAGAGCCTGGGTTCTGCTGCTGCATGTGCGCCAACAGCGCTTCGATCATGTCAAGGTCCGCTCCCGAAGGCATCTCCTGCACAAAAGAAAATACAATACGTTAAGAATGAGTGATAGAAAAACTTACAGTAGAGACAAGAAAAAATTAATACTGCGGTGAGTTTATGATAACTAAGAGAAATGCATAAAATAAAACCACGAGCGTGCTAACTGCAGAGCTAAAAAGTTGGAAAAAATCTGGAAAAATAGAGCAGAATCATTTTTACATATGTTATCGAATAGACACAACATACCGAGGCTCTGTATACGCAAAATTTCATAACCGCCGGAAAAAGACAGTTTTATGAAAATTATCATTCCAGACGGATTTTTAATTGCAACGACGAAAATAAAAACCAATTTGTTTCTACAGCTTGAAAGGCAGCAACGTTAATTGAAACAGAACAGCTTTTACCCATGAATAATGATAATAGGTGAACAATACAGACCGAAGTAGCAGGCTGAATCATTGCGTTGATCATCTTTGAAGATTCGTCAAATAAGCGTTTGTGTGAAGATTTCAGAACTCTTACACCTTCTCCACAGAGAGCTACTAAGCAAGCATCGCCTTCTTAATGCCTGACTAACTGGCTCAATAAGCGACAAGCAAAAGTTGAGCGCGTTTTCAAATCGAACGAAACTCCGCAGCTAAATAATAAATCGAATAATGAAACAATTGGAATAATCCATTAATTGTCTGCAATACGAGCTAAATAAAGCAAGGTAATCCAAACCCATGCACTTTGACCAGAGAATTTAGAAGTCGTAAGGAGCTACAACAAGCACGACTTATTGCAAGCACCAACGCTTGAAAGATAAAATGCTACAACATTAGAAGAGTGTCTCATGCATTTTACTAACTTTGTTGAAGAGAGCGATAAAACTCTCAAGATATGGAGATGGCGACGTGCTGATAACAAGAGAGCGCCGAGATAAGAGATAGCACCTGAAGAAGCCGTCGCACCTTCCCACGCCATATGAGTTTCGTGTTATAGTTTTTGAGCGACAGGATGTCTTCTCAATTTTCAATTCGTTTAAAAAGAACTTTAGACTAAAAAAATGCGTGGCTGACTGCAAAAAGTTAAGAAAAGAGCGAGCACAACCAATTGCAGTACAGAATTTTTACTAAGTGAAGTAAAATATCACGTCAGTAATGAAGCAAATGAAAGAAAAATATCATCGTCATAAACGATCGATTATTTATCTGACAAAAGATTTGTGATTGAGGAATACTTAGCAGGTGCGAATCATGTCTGCTGACTATCCTTACCAATAGTAACATTGAGGCAATAATTATAGATCATATAGGAGCGAGTGGTAAGAAGCGGGCGCCTCAAAACTGCCAGAGGGAACGGGTGGTGGTAATACAAGAGTCACCGCTGAACATCTGTCCCCACGTAGCCACCCTAGTGTACGCAGCGCTGCATGGTCGCAATTGGCTAGTAAAATAGCAACAGGAGATTCTCGCGAGATAAGGCCTGCTGAAGCAGCTACACGGATGTCTTAAGAAAGGATACGATCTTATCGGAGGCCTAAAAACATGGGCAGTGTCAATGCGAAAATGTTCGTCGCAATGAGTAACTGAATTAGAAAACGGACGTCACCAAATAAATAATCGCACAGTTGTTACGGATCGGTTTTTACAAATTTTTGTTTTTTCACAATCTACAGAAAAAGAGATAATAAAACAATATTAGAAATTAGACGAACGGGATGTGAAACAGAATGGTGAAGTACAAAATCACTACAATGAAATAAATGAAGTTTATTAGAGCAGGTACAGGCAGGTAGGTGTGATAGGAAAAACGGAGAAATTGGAAATTATCAGCAATCGGTATGAACTGAAAACATCATAAACTAATGCCAAAAAACTTCTGTAAATTCAAATAGAAACAAAAAAATCTGCCCGAGAAGTACGTATCAGAAGAGCGGAGTTTTAGAAGTTTCCCTTAGAAGTAACAGCGCGAGTTACATTACTGATCTTGAAGTGATGTAAACATTTCTGGACCACCTCCAGTTATGGCATAACGAAACCAACTGTGGCTCAAAAAAATTTATTCTCAAGATTTATAACCTGATTGGATAACTTAATCACTGTAACGAGCATTCATAAGAAGATTGTACAGAAGATAGGGCCCCTAACGCAGATAACTTCCATCCAGACATCTTTCCATTAGTGGTGATAGGATGCGGAGATCATCTAAGAATCTATACACATTCCCAGTTCTGATAAAATGTGACGACAAACTAGTGAAGAACTCTTATCTACCGAATGCTCGATGCCTTTGTCATTATTTGAACAAGTGATCCCTGCCGGATTTGTATACATGTACGATCTTCTTCAGCTGTCACGCTCAAGCTGTGCGAGGCTCAAGTATTCAATCCCCTTAGAGCATACTGCTGAAATTTATAGCTTATTTAGTGAGCTCCAAGCTTCTAAAGACATGAACAGTTGCTCTCGCACGATCATCAAGTCATCACAATACAATGATGAATAGTTTCTTTAGTCATAACATAAGTGTCAAGAAGTACATAAATCTAATGTTAGAAATAGGTTTTTACTGCTAATCCAAAAATAGTATATTTAGATTCTATTGATGACAATTACACTTGATGACAATTATTACAATCATCTAAATTATCATTATTATTAAAATTATTGATGACAATTATTTAACTTGAGATTCTGATGACAATTCCACTGCATGAGTGAGTTGTTGGACTTTAGCACACCCACTACGGTGCATTGAGTACAGGACCAACAGGTTTAATAAGGATAGGAGCACAGCAAGGTGGTAACTTGGACCATGTTCACGCACCAGCGCAATAAAGTGCCAGAGACAGGAAAAACACACGACAACACGCAATCCTTATAAAACAGGGTAATAAATTATGTTATTTCTGTCACGTTCTTGGTTTACCATATGCCAGTTCACAAGACATGCATGTTAATGAGCTCAATATTCAAATCGTCAACCGAGAACTTCAAACATTTGCAGTTTTTGCAAAAAAATTAAGGTTTTCAATCACGATTATGACACAATCACGATTATGACAACAATGAGTTGAAGTATTTTGACACACCTGAGAACTGAAAGTTGATATGATTTTTTCCAGAAGACTTTGCTCATAAGAGTGAGTGTGAACGAAGCCTCAGGTAGGTAGGCCTATACAGATGCCTATCTATGCTACGGGGTGGTCCGAAAGAACGATACCTAGTCTTCGTAATCGTCCTGACTAACCGTATTCGTGATACGCACAACAGACATTAGAACTGATCTTCATCAGCTATGTTAATTGCCTACAACTGATCAGAACACATCAAGCGGGAGGCTTCTAATCTTAGCGCACAAATTACAAGTCACGTAATACTCTTTTGAATTTATAGTATCAATAAAAACTGCGATGTCATAATAATTGACAGCTACGTAAAGTTCCATCCTACTTAAAAATAATTTTTGTGTTGATCGCAAAAAGAAACCTTTTCTCTTCATACAACCTATTAGAAAATAATTTGCTAACCTAAGACACCAATTAAATCTTAAGTGATTGGTATTGAAACCTTCACAAGGAATAAAACGATTCTAGATAATTCTAAATATCGAGGCACTAAAAATTGAAACTAAATAAATGACTTTGAACTGAATGATAGTGGTTTGTGGTGAGACCACAAGACGTGGATCGGCACCACCTTTAACAAGTTCTGAGCGGTCATCCAACGATTATAAAAATAACTTTTTGCGTGAAATTAATTAAAACGCAGGACGGTTACTTTGCTATGACTAGTTAGCAATAGCAGTTATCAGGCGTAAGTATTCTTAAAATATTAAATCTTTACAGCAATCGTGATAAAGAAAAGTAACTCTTGAGTACTCGAAAAATAAATACGATGGTTATTATAACAACGATTGTTCTTCAAAACATAAGGAAAACATGATGAAGATAATTGAAGACAAGGAGGAACCATCAAACCGAAAGCAGCGTCACATAAATGTGTAGGGCGCAATAAGAAACGAAGAAGCTGGCACAGACTGGTTTAGAGTGAGTAAATTATAGAGAACAAAAAGCGGTATGCGCATAATTAGCTTTTTTGTTGGGGTATGGGGCTGAGTTAGTGGGGTTGGAACCCACCTGAGACTAACTCAGCAGGTCAAATGAGAGATCTACGCGCGCTGTCATTTTGATGATGGACGCAGGTGCGGGTGGTCGAAATGCCTTCGTCAACTCAGAGGTTCATGGGCACAAAACAAATTCTCACTCATCGCTAGGACAATTAAATACTTATATTTTCGAAAAATAAAGTCATTAGGATACCAAAGAACAAAACAATTTCTCACCCATCGCTAGGACAAGTAAATACTTATGATATTTTCAGAAAAATAAAGTCATTAGGATACCAAAGAGTTGGTCATCCGTGACGATGAGAAATAACAGCTGTGAAGTTAATTTTAAGGCGTATACGTGAAGACCTGACAGGTAAACATAGGGAAAATAGGAACTTGAATTTAGCTAAAACACAAAATGTTGCTCAGATGAACATGCCACGTAGGATTTTGTATTGACATGAATATCAGTTGCAGGAAGCTGCGTTGGTACCATAATGTGAATCAGTTCACAAGGGACTCGCTCACTTCCGTAGGAGCGAAATACTCGCGTGTTCAATGATGCATATCTCATAATGGCAGAAATTGAGGAATAGGCCATAAATGTTACTCAAACAGGAAAAGGAAAAGCCTACGTACACGAGAATAGGAGAAAATAATCTGCCTTTTGGACGATTGTATGTGTGTTCTTCTCACTCACAAAATATAGGCAAACCGACTTTAATTAGTTCAAAAGTTGGTTAAAAAGCTTCAATGTGTTATCAGAATTTCGACAAGACTAAAATTACATACAAGAATAGTCAATACTCGATAGATTAAAGGACTTGTAAAGTTCAAGTAAATAGAGTGGATTTACTGAATGTAACAAGAGCAATCATATCTAATGATAGCAAGACAGGCGGGTGCGGCAAGACAGGCGGAGGCGGCAAGACAGGCGGAGGCGGCAGACAGGCGGAGGCGACAAGACAGGCGGAGGCGGTAAGACAGGCAGGTGCTGCAAGACAGGCGGAGGCGGTAAGACAGGCGGAGGCGGTAAGACAGGCGGGTGCTACGGTAGCAGCTGTAGTCACGGTAGCAGCTGTAGTGACGGTAGCAGCTGTAGTGACGGTAGCAGCTGTAGTTACGGTAGCAGCTGCAGTGTGCGTAGCTATAGATGCAATAGCAGATATCACACTGAAAATTTTTAATGATACATAGCTAATATTCAGTTGGTACCTTCACCTTGTTTGAGAATTTGATTTTGAGAATATTTTGGATTTCTAAATAATATCCGGGCGTTATAGTGGAAGTATTTAAAGCGTTCCATTGAAGGCATACTGACAGACAAGTTTTCAAGCACCGGAACATTTCACTGATTGAGATACATTCAGTGAGCCTGGTACCTTAGCTCCAGAAGAACAGTCGAACAGGTAAGCCTGGGTTAAACCCACACAGCTTACGCACCACCCAGCAAACACCACAAAAACCGCCAAAACCACCTTCATCGTCACAGCTCACCCCTCCACACCACCCACGTCACCCCTACACCACCCACATCACCCCTACACCACCCACTTCACCCCTACACCGCCCCACGCTACATTCCGCACGGAGCCCACTCGAGTATGAAGTTGCTATCAGCGATCAGTAGCATCTCGTTAGACGACAGTCATAAAACAGGAAAAAATTCCACGCGTTTCATATACATGTAAGAATTCCGTGAAAGAGTTTTACCATTATTCAGAATTATCTTTAAAAATTGAACAATATGAGAAATTATAGAGTTCTATAATAAAAAATATGAGATGAATAACATTCTTCGGAAACAACTTGGAAATGCGTTGGTAGAACAAAATTTGGGAATTATGCAACGAAATTGCATTCACCATCACGAAAGATTTTTTCGAAGCCGAACCCTGAGTAGCTCGCTACCATAGCCGCATTGCTGTCACATATCGACGCATGTGAGAGGCTGTTTATAAATGAAGCTTTGGTCCTCAGAAGTCACAAGCCTTGACCGAAATAACGTCACAGTATATAGTCTTTGTAATAACTCATAACGCTACTGGCGTCACTTGTCTAAAAACTTTTACTGGAATAAAAGGATGTTCTTTTTCATAACCGGAACGTTGATAAGGAAATCCCTATTATACGTCAGGCACATACATAAATCTCAAGAAAAGGTTAGTAAGCACAATTGAGAGCCGAGCATATAGGATGAGATCAGGCGAGACTAATGCGGCCACACACGACAGACTCCGAGGCTATTCAATAATTTCAGGAGTCGCTGCTTCCATTGAATCATGCGAGACTCGCGGCACCTCGCCTCACTTCGCGCTCTGAATGCCATCAACACAAGCACGTGTATATAGGATACTTGGGGGACCTTGCCACGTGGCCTTACAACTCAATCATGGGACAGTACACTCAGAGAAACAAATGGGCCGTACTGTCAAATAGAGACGCATTTTCTTACACATGGCACGAGTAGAGAGCGAGTTAGCAGTGATACGCACTTCTGTCGGACCAAACTGAGCCAAGATGAGCTACAAAGAAGCAACAAGTGTATCGCTATTTGGAGAAAGATTCGCTTATTTCTATGAGTGCGTGATTCTAGTAAGTGAACTGAAATAGTAGATAAATTTAGATAAGAAATTAATTTGTTTCACCCTCAAAAATTGAATGAAAATCGGTCATTTTCATGAAAACTGAATCAATACATGCATTATTTATTCATAGCTTGGAGGTTATACCCCATTAGATCGTGCTGATTTTTTGACCAAAAGTAGCAGAACAGGAAACGCTGCTCAACTTCTTAGCAAGCTCTGCTACATCAACAAGGCGATGCCAGGTAAGTAGTAACAGCAGGTGTAGTGAATGAAGCACGAATTATTACCGACAAAAAGACACAAAAGTACGACTAAAAACTTTTTGATCATGAACAAAATCCGATGTAAAGTTAAAAATATCTAAGTTCTGGAGAATAATATGGAAAAACGTCCAAATAATAGATGCACTGAAGCGACAATGTATTGAAGATAATAATGACAGGAGATTCAATTAGGCTTGTCAACTCGACGTGACGGCCCAAGTAAGCTCACAACGCGCTAGGTACAGCAAAAATAATAAGAATAAGAATCATGCTCACATCAGGCATCAGTAGCGCAGGAGCAGCCGACGAGTGCCTCTGTGGGGCCGCCTCATATTCACCCTCATACTCTTCTTCATCGTAAATTTCCTCTTCTTCGTCATCGCCGCCATCATATTCCATATCACATCCATCAAATGGGTTCTCGAACTCATCGTTGCCGGCAGTTTCAAATACTTGTCCAGCTCCATAATCATTGATATCTTCAGGCTGAAAACTGTTTCCAGCATCGCCGTAGCCTGCAGCGCTTATCAAGGCAGCCATAGATGGAATGCCACCAGCTGATCCATATGTCATCATGACTTCTGATGACCCAAAAGGAGATGCTTCGTTTCCGCTAAATTGCCCACTGTCTATACTAGGACCTCGGAAGTGATGTGCCTCGCCCTGCTGAGTGTAGCCACAAGCTCCCAGCATTCCTTCTCCGTTTTCTTGCCCATTGTACGACTGAGCTTGAGCCATCAACAGATGTTGGGCCAGTAACTGTATGTTAGGATGATCATCATTTTCGTCCTCATCTGAGTACTCCTCTTCTTCGTAATCATCGTCATACTCATCATCATCATCGCAGTGATCATTGGTGTTCTGATATTCGGGCTCGCCGATATCACACTGGCTGTAATCCATGATGTCGTTTTCTGTTGTTTTGAAACGATGGACCACTGAATTATTTCGACCTACGATGTAACACGCACTAATTCTTTGCGACTGCGAGCGCGGTCACGCTCAAATAACAACTTTTATACTGGCTTTTATAAATCACGTCATCTCTCGAACTAACACCAACAAATAACACAGAAACAACAAATAAGGGGCACTTAGGCCACCTAGAGCACCACACTGCGTGTTTCGTCAACGACGACGAGAGAAGAACTGAAGTGTAAGCACGACTCGTACTCTTTAAAGGAGGCCGACAAGGCCTACTACGTCTGGGCACAACCAATCACTTACCTGAGAAGGCGGGCGGTTCTGTCTCATGGGTCGAAGCAAAACTCAAAATTCGGTAATGAGCCACCACTGGCTCATAAGGAACGTACTAGGCACAGGACATAAAAAAAAGCAAAGCTCCACCTCAACTTTTTTTTTCATTAAAAAATGTTCCGGTGAGTCTCCGGAACGAACGTGAGGTATTAATTCATGCACTACCGAAATGCTGGTCGGAAAGAATACTTTTTTAACAGAAACCACCAAGCCCTGTTAGCACACGTGCTTTCTTAGCTATTACCATAAAAGCTATGAGAAACAACACAATTTGAATTCATTACACTTTAGTCATTCGGTGATCTAAAAAAATACAGTTCGTAGACGTGATAACGTGATAGTCTGAACGAAGACGTGTACAACTGAACACCGCTGTAGGGAAGTGACCATACAAAATCAAGTGACCACGGACTGAAAAAGCAAAGAAGCAGTCCGTAAAACAAAGTGCATTGTAGTCGAGCTCAGTTTTTATTATGTTAGTAAGAAATTAAATAACGCCTTTTGTAGTCATTCGGCACGCAGCGTTACAAATGAACGAGTGACGATAAGGGGGAAAAAAATACAATATGATCTGCAGCAACAAAACCTTGCCGACAAAGCAAATCAAATCCATCATCTCGAACAGGATGTACAGTCAGTCGACTATCTCACAGAACTCCAGCAGAAAAATATAGCTGAAACTTTCCACAATATCGAACTAATTAATGAATGGAAAAATAAACAACTTGATAATTTAGGGACCGAAAATACCGAGTCGTCTCATATCAGCTTTACATGATTACAATCATTAATTACATTATCCAATTATATTCTGACGTTTTGAGGACTCGTCGTGACAGGAACTGTTATCGGACGCGATAAGTTTTCAGTAGACAACAGGTATTGTCAATGGGACAGTATGTAAACCTACAGAAATAAAGCTTAGATAGTACCATCAAACCATGAAATGCATTAGAATACTGTCATTATTGAGGATTGGGCTTGTATCAATAAATCACGTCAAGATTTAAGAATGAATAGTCAGGTCACCTCAGAAAATCAGTGGTGAACTTAAATTTGTGATCTCCACAAATTGTGATCTTAAAGAATAAACACAGAAGATTAGGCCTAAAATTATGCATAATCTACTGTAAGCGTCTACTAAGCGACGCGTGAGAAACACAAGTTTGCATACTTACAACAACGAAGAAAAGTTCAAGTACCTACATTAGAATTTAAGGATTTCCTTGAATAAGTTACCTCGATATCACATCAGTGATCGTAAAGCATCCACGCCACGCTACTTACGGCAATCGCGATATATAGCAGAAGTTCATTCGTAGTGGCAAGCTTCAGCCAGCGAGATGAGGAATTGTTCACTAAAACAACACGACGACTTGGGAAAGCGAATCACGTTGTTGAGCAACCGATTCTAATCAGCGTTGAAAAAGTGTTCGTATCTGTACAGAACCATGCACTGAATATTTCATGAATAAAACAATGAAGATGATGACGGTTCTCAATATGTACCATGAACTACCCATTTTTTGAAATACTAGACAACAGTGAAATATGACCAAGCAGCAGACAAGCAAATGGCTACTTGAATTCAAACCTATATTATGCAGCCAACCGCGCAATTCACTTAGAACAAATTGCTCCTATTCAGATCTTGTAAGTGAATTAAATCGACAAGGAATTAAAATAAATAACAAAATCGGGATTTCTGCAATTATTGTATTTAAAAGTTATTCTTGTTTCAGATATTAGATTCGTTCAATCACGCCTTTTAGGAAGTAATAATTTAAACACTCAGAAGCAGGTATGATTGAACTACTCATTGCTAGTTAAAGCAAACTTTGTTCACGTTAAATGTCATAAATATAAAGCTACCTAAGAGGAGCAAGTTATTGTTTGGCGATGTTGAGGTCAAAATAAGGTATTATATGCTTCCATAGACCTGCCTACTGTATGAGCTAAGAAGGCCTACAGCTCATCACGCATATAGGGTACGTCCGGCTCGACTATACTGGTTCTGGTCATTTCGTCCGAGCACAAGAAGCAGCAGGAAAATGTTTGCCGCTGAACACTTCTTTCCCTTGAATTTGGGCTATTGTTTTCGCCTCGGTGAACAAAGAGACATCGAAGACCACACCGATAATCCGGGACCAAAAAAGCGCGTCAAGCCTATTCCTACCGCGACCGGGCACAAAATTTGAAGCTTGGTCAGTCCCACAGCGGCTGTCATTCATCTATCTTAGCCTAACAGGCTGACTAATCAATTATTTCTTAAGCTTGTTTATTTGGTCAAGGAAAGGTAGACGCAGGTGGGAGGGTGAAGAATGAGTGACGAGAGAAGCCACACATTCCATAACTCACCGAGCTCACAAGGAGTAGCTAGAGGGCGAATGAAGGAAGATGTGGAGAAAATTGAAGTGGCTCATCGCAGTCCATGAAATAGTGTTGGCTACGGCAGTGGAACAAAAGACCTTCAAAGGCCTACTGCTCTACAGGTATACAGCGTTCGACCAAATATTTCACGTGGCAATTGTCCAGAAACAAGCGGTGAATTGATGAGTCAGAACTAGAACAATCCGGGGGTGTTCTTGACAGCAGCGAGTGAGGCATGACATCGCAGGTGTGTGCGTGTCGCTACCTTTGTTGTTGTCATAAGATGAGTACTCAGCGGATATACAGCGCGCTGACATTCAAGATACTTGCTATACCCATCAAGTTTACATGCAAATTAGACTAATTATCTTCAAATTCTGTGAAATTATGTAAATAATTATTACCATTAGGACCTACCGTAAAAAAGGATGGCAGATAATAAGAAATTGTTTTGCAAACTATGAACATTTTCAGCAGTAGTTCCAACACGCGGAAGAGGTGACTTCATAGCTATTAGCGACGGCTCAATTTGCAGTGAATACAAATATTGAGGGCCATTCTCCCAGTACAATGAAGCTGTGCTGCATTCTCAAGAACCATCACGGAAAGTTCTTATGACTAAAAAGTCATAAGAACATTTCTTCTCAACAATCGATGCTAAGTTGTTGCATTAGGGAAAAATTTCAAACTTATATACCGCGAAAATTTTTAACCGACTTTCATGTCTTAATGCTATCACGATTTTTTTCACAAATAACGGCTTCTGAAATTGCGGCGTATCAAACTTTGAAAAAGTGAGAGAATGCTCGAAAAATTGAACTAGTGAAGTGACTGAGGTTGACGTGTGAAAGTGAGGTACTGGTATACGATTGGAGGGGAATGGTGGAGAATAGAAGCGAGAGAGATGAGAGGTGCAAGTGAATGCTGGAAATTGTGAAGACACAATAAATAAGTAATCATAACGCTCTCTTGTCGCTGATGGTTCTGAAGTGTATGAGTGATGTTTAGCTGACCGAGGCTTCAATTGCGTGAGTCGAGACTTAAAAGAGCGTCAAACTTCTCCCCCATTTGATTCACCGCAAAAAATCGAACAACAACTACTCCAGAATTTTCAACAAATATTTATCTAATTCACAACACGCCTTACGAACACTAGAGCAGTTAGAATGCAAACCTCTATTACGTCGTAATATAGTCGTCTGTGGCAAGGCTATATATTGCTACCCTATTGTTAAAATATCCCTATATATACATATATTGGAGTTGAATGCAAGTGAAGTGCTTTGTTGGCGTTCGTCGTTCATCTTCAAACATATTAAAATACAATAGATCGTAAAGTAAAAACAAGGTAAATTGCTTTATAATTAATTTCATCAGGGGAGATGCCTTCTAGGTAGCTGGCTTATCCTTTAGCTCAAACACATCTGGAGGTACTAGGGAAAAAAGGCTGTATTACTGATGGCTATCATGTCTGCACAACTGACAACTAGTGTTGAAAGAGAGGAGTTTAGCTCTTATAAACGATAAGGTGGATGCCATAGGTAATCAGGGACTAATTTCATGGCTTTTCTAGTGTAGTAGTATAAGCCTATGAAGTGCGATAGGCAATTGAGGCGTCGAATAATCTAAGCTGCAGCTGGCAGGCGTTACGAAAGGTTGTGGGCGACCACGGCGCTGCTCAGAGGATTAAGTTGGGATTACCTGAGACTTATCCGCTAATCCTTCTAAAAGCCAAGACCTTACGACACTTGAGGCTATCATTGACAGAAGAGCTTGGGTGCTAGCAATATTGTGCGCAGGATCTAGAGCTCTCACATGTACAAGGCTGCTATGGTACATCTACTTAAGTGCTCCTAATTAGTGGTCAAACAACCACCGAAAATTGGCGCTGTTGTGTGCAACACCAAGCCGTGCATTGTGGTGCCCACCTCATTTGCTCACAATTGCTGCAATGGCCATGCAATTCACACACATTTTACGACCAAATGGAGCCGCTAACGGGTCGTTTATATGGCGGTGCTCGAACTCTGCCACCGGGGTTGATATAGCGTGTGCTGGAATTATTCAATTACCTTTACATTCACATCAATATTCATGAAGCAGCAGAGAGAACTTGTCACACGGATAATGAATCACACATTACTCAAATGGATTGATAACAAGGATTGATGCAGGATTGTTTAGCAAGAATAAGTCTTTAATGTGTACTTCCATATGATTTGCAGAACTTGCAATAAATAATATTTGGGGCGAAACGAAAAGCTGATAAGAAGAATTTAATTGTATACAATCACATACCTTTTTGGAAGAACGAAATTACACGATAAACCGATGAGCTAAGAAGTAGTCATGGAATCGTTACAATTATGCAACGATGAAGTGTGCTGTAGAAAATCACAAAAATAAATCAGTCGGGTATACCTAAATAAACAGCAAAACCAATAAAGATCAAGAACTAAGAGAACAAGTTCTAGCAGCAGACAGCGATGACGAC